ATAATAAGAAGTAGAAAATAATTAAGAAATATTAAATGTAACGTTGCTACAGTTACTTATGTTAAGTTTAATATTTTTGTTAGGTAATGTTATGTTGGTGTTTGTGAATTGTGCGCTGTTTTGTGGTAAACTACTCGTATCAGTAATTTTAAATAGTTGTGCCGATTCATTGGATTCTATTGGCGTAAATGTTGGCGAGAGAGGGCTATTGTTTCCAATCTTATGGGGGCTCATTTTAGATGTAGAAGGGCGAGACCAAGAATCTGACAGAGGTTCTTTCAGCGTTATGGCCTCCACGATACTATTACAAATTTTTGATTTACTTTGGATTGAATCCTCTATGTATCCCTCTACAACCGAATTAGACTTCCAGCCTCCATGGCGCTTAAGCGATAGAAGATCAGCCCCTGATTCGGCCAAAAGTGTGGCTGAGGTTCTTCTAAAACAGTGACCGGTGTATAACGGGGGTTCTAAAAGTCCGAGAAAAGTTGCTATTTCTCGTGGAATACTGCCAATTTTATTCTGACCCATAGGTTGTCGGATACACTTTCCGTTGCGATATTGTAGAAAAAATCGTTCAATTGGGGTGTTAGAAGGACGTAAAGCTTGATATTTCTGAACAATGTTTACATATTCCTTGCGAATAACGAAGTTGCGGTCTTTTTTTGTCTTGGTATTTAGTACATTAATTAATAGCAATTCATCAGAATTATGAGAATATTTTGATACGTTATTGACATTAAGTAGTGTAAGTTCATTTGTTCGACATGCTCCGGTTATACCAATAATAAGAACAACCTGTAACAAAAGAAGTATTTATAATCGTAAATAAATTAATCAAATTAAAAATATTGTAAGTACTATGTACAATTTTATCAACAACAAAAAATTACACGTATTGACTTACTTTTGCCGCTAAATATACGGAATCAGGTGCTTCATTAATAAACTTTGCAATTTCAGATGCTGTGAAAACCTTCGATTTTTTTGGTTTATAACCAGATGAGGCTCTTTTTAAAAATGCCACTAATTTATGATAGGTGTCGATATGAACGTCTTTCTTCATCTTAATTGTTAATTTTAGCATTGAATACGTACTCCATAGCGTGCTTGCTTTCTTGGTCTCAGATAATTCTATAAAATATGCCAGCAAAACGTTTTCGGAGAAAGTTTTTGCTCCTTTAGCTAGTCGCCACATGTTAAATATATCGTACTGTTTCAAATACTTCTCTCGTGATTGCTGAGGGAGAAGGCTCATTTGCGCATTATTAACTGTTTCAGTTAACTCAGTTGGCGTTAGATAAACTTCATCGTCGCTAATGTCACTCATTTTAGTTGATTTTTTTGTACAGTTTTTAGGTTATGTTAATTATATTAAGCAATAAAACGTGAAAAACTAGAATGGCGCGAAGCACGCAAATAAAACAAAGAAACCAAGAAGGTTCCAAATTTAAATTTTTTCACAATTTAAAAAGTTCTAATCATAAATTTGGCACCATAGAGGTTACATTAAATAGGTTTAATGACGTTTTGAATTTACAATTATATTGAGTACTCATTATATGTGATGTTCTAAATTCAAATCTACTTTGCCGCTCAAGCGAATAAAATAGAATTTTCCAGCCAGATTTCGAAGCGCAAAATTACACTTTCCGAGGTGGTGGGATGAAAAATTTATTATTAGGGGGCGTCCATAAATTACGTGAGGTGTTTTTTTGAATTTTCTGTCCCTCCCTCCCCCCTGGTGAGATGTCGTGAGATTTTTTTCCCCCAATCTCGCGTGAGATTTTTCAAAATGTGGGTTTCTTACTTAAAAGCGTTTGAATTGTTATTGTTAAAAGAAAAAAATGCTTCGTGCTTTTATTTACGACTAGTTAAGACTAGTATCAATATTGCTGAGAGTTATTTCTTTCGAACGAAATAGTGAATGACTTATTACTTATCTTAATCGTATTACGATTACGCTTAAGATTAAATTTTAAGTGTACAATCTGGATTAAATGGACCAAAATAGTATATTATACCCCTCTCTCCAACGTAAGATTAGATGAGATTTGACTCGACCCCCTCCCCCCCTTAAACATCTCACGTAATTTATGGACGCCCCCTTATAACAATAGTAGTTCTAGTAGTGCCCTACCTTAGAGACGAATTAGCGATACATGGATTCACCTTGCGGGTGCCGGGTCTAACGTGTGGGCGAGAGAGGAACTCTGAGCAGTTCCCGGGACTTGAGACCCAGGTGTAGGTTTCAGGAGGCCCCCCCCTCTGAGATGCGCATCAACGCACACGCCCTTCCTAGCCAAACTTGATAGGAGCCTGTTAGTGCAGCCTTAGGGTATATTCCGAAATATAAACCAGTAGGCTGGCCAGTGGTAATGACGTCATGATTTCGACGCCATATTGCACTGGTGTAGTAGTAGTGTTGTCAATATGGCGACGAAATCATGACGTCATTACCAGTGGCCAGCGTACTGGTGTTTGATTCGGAATACACCCTTAATTAATCTTGCTTGCTTTTTGAGTTAACAGTTGAGCCTTCCTTTGTTAAGTTAATTTGTTTTTTAAGTGTTTGTAACATCTTTCCTTTCGCTTTCCTGCAATTTGTGGACGGTGTAACAGGAAATCGCTAATGCGCGCGCTATTTGATTTTAGAACTTAATGTTCAAATCAGGGATGTTGCAGATGCCGATATTTTCACATCCGCGGATGCGGATGCGGATGCGGAGTTTAGCAGGCTCACATCCGCGGATGCAGATGCGGATGCGGATGTTTATGATATTATGTAAATAAAGTCTATTAATGAAGAATTAAAACAATGACAACGCAATCACTGGAAAAATAACGAATTTCGTCATAAAACGATAATTTTTCCTACAATAAAACGTATTACCGGCGTAATATAATAGAATTTACCTTGTGATCTTATGGATATTAGTCTTAAATAATATAAAGTTTTCTTGTAAACTCTTCTATCTTCTTATTTACACACTGTATCACAACAACATTAAAAATACCTATCTATCTTTATGATACGATAAGTAGTTCACTTTCACTTCACAGCGCAAACAAACACGTAATATTTATTCACTTGCAAGAAACAAATGATGCACTAGCTAGAACAAACAAACGTGTCGAATCTTGTCACCAATTTCTTCGCTCCCATTGGTTATTGTCACGTGCGACCGGCACGAGTCAATTACCGGCCCCGCCCAATTTCTTTCTTGTATAATATTCGCATCCGCATGAACATTCGCATTGATTAATGCGGATGCGGAAGCAGATGCAGATGTCCAAATCAATGCGGATGTTCCGCATTTGCGGATGCAGATGCGAATGTTCGCAACATCCCTGGTTCAAATGGCTTTGTTTTATTATTATTATTATTATAATGGCTCGCACGGTTTGTGCATTGGCCACGACAGGGTAAAAGGTAAGGAAACCAAAATGACTGACGACCTCCGTGGCCGAGTGGTTTGTACGCCGGGTTTCATGGCTGTCGCCGACTCGAGAGGTCCCGGGTTCGAATCCCGGTGGGGGCAGATGTTTGTGTGATGAATACGAGCATTTGTACTCCAGTCATGGATGTTTAATATGTATTTATAGAAATATACTTATATATGTACAGTATATGTATTCTATCCGTTACCCTAGCGTCCCATAACACAAGCCTAATTGTGCTTACTTTGGGGCTAGGCTAATTGGTGTGAGTGTCGGAAATATTTATTTATTATTAAAATAATGATATAAATTCAAATGGCTTATTCTTTTTGTGGTAGGTTTTATTTCTTTTTTTACTAATATAAGGTGAGATTTCAAATGTTACACATCATACGCGACTAGTGTAAGGGTCGCTAGTTTTTTTTATTTGCGGTTAATCAAAAAAACAGCTTAACATTCACCCTCTTTCACAACATGAATGTAAAATCAAATTGAGCGGAGGGTTACTTGTCTTGGAATATGACACTGTGGAGTCATTGATCAAGTTAAACGCGTACATGCACACACACATCTCTCTCTATCACACACACCCACTACATATACACTAATATATAATGTATTATAAATACCTTGTTAATTTTCTAATCATGTCTGTAATGTGCCTGTCTTTTGAGGTGGCCGCTAATAACTTTAAACCCGTATTACAGAATGTCAACTAAGTGTTGCTCTTTACTTGAGTACAGAAAGGGATGTCGCTATGTGCTATATATAGCGACATCCCTTTCTAACTATGCTCAAGACTAGATTAATTACTGAGAATCTTTCTATAATACGGGCCTTAGACTACTACGGTTGTTAACGCTTAATTGTTATATTGTATACGTCATGGTTCAGAAATAAAGATTATTATTATAATCCTTTTTGGACTCTAGCCACTGCAAGACTTGCTGCTTCGCGTATGAGTTCTGGTACTCTATCATGGCAACGAGAGTATTGACCCCTATCAAGGAGCACCTCACAACCTACCAATATATGCATAGCAGTACCTATTTTGACGACCTCCGTGGCCGAGTGGTTTGTACGCCGGGTTTCATGGTGTCACCGACTCGAGAGGTCCCGGGTTCGAATCCCGGTGGGGGCAGATGTTTGTGTGATGAATACGAGCATTTGTTCTCCAGTCATGGATGTTTAATATGTATTTCTATATAAATATAATTATATTATGTACAATATATGTATTCTATCCGTTACCCTAGTATCCCATAACACAAGCCTTACAGTGCTTACTTTGGGGCTAGGCTAATTGGTGTGAGTGTTGGAAATATTATTATTATATATTATATATATTATTTTTATTGCCCCACCACAAGTATAGCACGATTTTTCAGAGGCTTCCTAGGTTGCTAAGGTCTGGGAGGATCATTTGGAAGGCATTCAATACAATGTTTAGTCCGATTGTCATGACCATTGAAAATGTTCAAAGCAAGTAGTTATACAGATATTCTACTGGTATGCCATATTATGGGCTACAAGTTGTAAGAGAAAATCAAACAAAACAGTTCTAGAAAAAATATTTAATCACCATTTTCATCATCAGGATCGGGCTCTTCGAAATCTCTGATTTTAACATCAGCATCTTCTCCGTATTGTATAATATTGTCTATCGTAAGTAGTATATTGTCTATGCTTTCCTCATCCTTTATATTCAGAGGGTAAAATCGAACAAGACTAAAGTTCTCTATGACCTCACCAATGGCTTCAGTTAGCTTTGCATATTTCTCGTGCCATCTTGATTTTGCGTTTCTCATGTCTGCTAACAGAATGTGAGGATCTGGATCTAGATAACTGTAAAAGAAATTAAAAACAATTTTATATTTTTAAATAGTCCAATGGATGGATTTTTTGCGTTTTCATGCACACTAAACGAACGAACACTGGAAACAAATCTATCCAAACGGCAGTCGCTCTACCTAGATAAGTAGGCCGAGTGTTACGGTGCATTCAAATATGAGCCTTAGCATCGCGGAGTAAGGATGAAAATGCGATGGCACCTGCCTACTTAATCAAAATTCATGTTTGCTACCTGCTTATAGGTACTCTAGGGAATTCTCAATTGAATTGGATTTTTCTAGAGAGTTTACATTAAAGGCATATACGATAACATTTGAGTTTCAACAGTGATTTCGGAATGGTTACAAAGGCGATTTGCAAGTAGTGTTCGTGGGCGATTGTGTAAGGACTTATATAATGTAAAGTTAGTCTAGTAATGGTGTCGATTCCGGCAAGATTCTCTAAACCTAAACTTAAATTTGACCACAGTGTATCCTTGTCATTCTCTATACAGAATGAAAAGGAGAGACTGATGTTAAATTTAGTTTAAAGTTTAGAGAATCATGCCAGAATCGATACCATTGTGTGTTTAAAAAGAACTATCAAGCGTAAACTAGCATTATAATTTCGAACCCTACCCCGACACAACAATACAATAAATTGCTCATCATTTAAAATGTTTTAATAAAGAATAATATTTAGATGCATTAAGACTACTGACTTGTCAAGTTGACTTCTTGCTGATTTGCTGAGAAGATCCATTTTCGTGAGAATATTTACATGCGGTAGTTCCAAGTTCACCATTACACTAAGCGCTGCCATAGTACCTGAAAATAATAAAAATTAATGATGTGAACAAGTAGCTTTGGAACATAATAAAAAATAAATAAATAATTTTTCTATTGCTGTTTTCTGGGGTTAAAGTAAGTTTTATTTCATTAGACATTTGATGTGAAATCAAACAGTTTTATTTATTTATTTCTTTCAAATATCCATAAAAATACTCTTTTCAGAGGCATCATCAGCCTAATGTTCCCATTGCAGTGGCACAGAACTACAAATGCAACGGGGACGTACGGCCAAACGTGATTTCCGAAGTATGGATGAACGCGTGATAAAAGTTTTTGGTCACCCATCCAATGACCCATAATAGGCTAGTTGACCCTTTTTGGAATAAGGTTTTAAATGGTTAATAAATGTTCTATTAGACCGAAAAAAAATGTATTGTATTTTTTAGAGACCTAGAAAGCTACAAATCTTTAATTTTAAAATAGAATTTTCATGGACATACAAAAACGCTGTCGGCCATTTTAGTCTATAGATTGTCTATGCTATGATGTCGACTGTAGTAAACAAAAACTCGTAAGCACGTAGAAAATAACTTATCTGAGTTTATAATAAAAAGAACATGATTTCTAATAAATACCACGAAAAATAAAGTAATTATCATTATTGTATTGTACGAGAATATAAAAACACATACTTGAAGACTCCAGGAATGTTGTGGATTAAAGTGCCGAAAGAAATTAACCTACGCAACTTTATTACACTTAATTCATATGTTGTATCAGTTTTATGTTTATTACTACATTGTAATACTAAATGCACTTTACTTACATAGATGCCTTGTCGTTTCTCTGCTCCGCAGAGCAGAAATCGGGGTTCAGTGCAAAAAATTCACCAACCATCAATGCGTCAATTCTTGGCAGATTTGTGCTTTCTGCTTTCATAAAACCGGCATCCATAATTAGTTTTGTCAAAAAAAAACAGTAAACGGAAACTTTTCTAAAGTTAAAAGTGTTTTAAGAAAAAAATATTCAGACTAAAGAATCCACCCATAACAACACGCGAATGACATTGAGTTGTTTACTGAAAGAGACGTCACAATCATGGCGGATGTAGCGAACAGCGTTTTTAGTGTTTAAAAAATATAGACTAAAAAATATTTTTTTAAATTAAATTTCTACAGCAATCTTCTGCTTTTATGAAGTGAAATCGATATATTTAGGTTCCTTAGACCAAATACTGTAAGAAATAAACATTTATTTAATACAATTCGACATGAGTCAACTAGCCTATTGCAAAAGTTGCTTAACTTTCTCGATTGCAGGCCGAATGCGCTAAACACCTACGCCATCGAGCTCCTAGCAGTGATAACAAATTATTTAGAGCCATCAGTAAACAATGATGTAAACTGATTTATACCTGATAAGAATTTAGCTCCATCCACCATGAACTGTGAATCGACCATGAACACCACACATATCCTGAAGTTCCATCGTTCCAGCAGTTCGACCAGCCGCCTCATGACCGGTAAGTGTGTGTATAGCTCGATTTGCCCAGGACAATCGAACAGGATGTAGTCATCATCTACATCACCTAGCTGCTCTTCCAGCCAGTCACAGTTCTCTAAGAGGGTTCTGGAAGGTAAAGGATTCACTTAACAATTGTATTATTCTGCCGTCCTCAAACTAAAGTGCGGCTCAGTGACATGTGGTTGATTTTTCAGATTTAAATTGCATATTATGCAGTTTTTAACTCTCTATCAATCATCTTTAACAAGTTTTCATATCTTTTAAGTTTGATTCTAAAAATCCGTCATGCGATGCATGGTTACAAAATAACAATAATTTTAATGTTTAAACGCCGTGTTTTGGCCATATTTCAAAAGTTGGTTTTGTTATTTAGTCGCGTTTTAGATTGAGGACAGCAGTATTATAATCCAACATCCCTCCACTCGCTTTTAGATCTATTTGTGTTTTTAACGAGACTTAATTTAAATGAATAATTAGAGAGTATAAAATGCATTAGTGAAGGGTTGCCTAAAAAAATTGTCACAAACATCTTCAATAAAATTTTGTGACATCATTTTTTTATGTAGGTAAATGGCATCCTTGACCTATTGGAGGCCCTGGGCATATTAGGATAATGGGGCCCCTATGACTTCTGTATGGTGATGTAACAGGAATTAGGGACTTTGTATTTGATAGGGGGCCCTATCGATTGTAGGGCCCTGGGGACTTGCCCAAAGTGCCCACTGGGAAAGATGGGTCTGTCGTCACCCATGCAGGCACCCAATTTAGAAATATGGAAAATCCTGACAGAGAACTAGAAATTTTACAAACATTTCCTTTGTTGGTTGGTAAACCTTTAACATTAAGTTATTTAATGAGTAATACTTACTCTATACAAAATACAAGACCTCCATTTGGTCCAAACTTCAATTCTTCATCTTCCATTGCATCATCAAGGTGTATGAGTTCCCGTATATCGACCAGGGGTTCATAATCAAAGTGTTCTGCTGCAGGATCAAAGTTAACTACTTCAATGATGCGTTTGGTATCAGTGGCATGTTTCACCATCGTTGAACAGTACGTAGACTGGAATTATATAATATAACTAAGATACAATGTCTCCAATGCAAGCTCTCAGAAAAAGAAAAGGGAGCTTAGGAAAGGAGAGTGTGAATGAACATAATAAAACTACTACAATATGAAGCTGTTTTATTACTTAAAGTTAAATTTATTTAAGTCCAATTAAAGAAAAAAGTAACCATTTGACACATTTACTATGTGTATTAAATTATACTATCATTGAAACAACACCACCTGAGAGGGTTAATTGGCTCCTTTGTTATGGTCCTTGTGGTGGCCTTGCAGTAAAGATTCATACAAAAATTATAAGATTGATAAATGGATCTTTACAACAAGAACTGAAAAATGGCATGTTTAATATATAAGACGTAGACCCTGTCTAGATTTGTTCCGCTTTATTAATTACTGAATTTTCTTTTCTAAATCATCAGAAATAAGTAAAAATATAATTTAACTGCTGTAAAACAACGTTAATACAAATTTTGTATGACATTTTTTCTTATACTCATGTTTATTGCATTACTAACCTTTTCTTGTGGTAATAAAAGGTTAAGTAGAATTGGACAGGGTAGTACTTATTTGAAAAGAGAAAATTCAAAACAATCCTTTAAAACATCTGGTATTTTTACTTACTTTTCCACTACCGGCAGGACCAACAACTAATTGCGCATAACGCATGATTGTGTGAAATTAAATTAAAATTTCTTGTTCATCTAAGCCCTAATATCATAAATTTTCAAGCTTGCTTTTTATTTGATTTGAACAAGTTAATCAACATACAAATATTTTTTTTTTGAAGGAACACGGTACAATATTTTTTTATTTTAGGTTATGTTGATCGATGTCGATACAATAGTAATGTCAATTTTTTTTTTAATTTTATTCTTCTCTGTTGAGAAAGGCAAAGGCAAAGCCATGCAGCCATCGTCTTATTTTTGTATTAATCTTCCGTTTTTTTACATTACAATGTGGGTGTGACGCATTCTAATGTTTCTTTTCGGAGTGTTTGGCACGAAATATATCGAGTTGGCTTTTTCGATAAGCTTCTGTGAGGTAGTCAATACTACAATAAAGTTCTCACGTCCACTTGACCGGAATAGCGTATATTTTAAAGATTCCACTAATTCTTCAGTTCTGCAGACGGTTGTAACACAAAATGACACCAATTTTTTTTCACAATATCCACTATGAACAAATTTAAGAATAATTAAAATAAGACGCCAACCGCACTCGATGAAATCCCGCCAAAAAAAATCGTTAAGTCAAGTCAATCTTACTTGACATTGACAGAAGATTGATTGACATCAATTTATCAATACATAAATCTAATACTTTGTCAATAAATGATTAACATGTAGTGGACATTATGGTGGTTGATAGAACATGGATAGGACCATGATAGGACTGATCACTAAGAAAATCCTATATAATATTATAAATATCTAAAAAAGAAAAGTGACAAGTGTCCATAGTAACTTTGGCTGAATATAAAATTTTCACGACCAGCAATGAAAATAGTGCAGTGACTCCACTGCCGGATCCGGCAATTCAAACAGATGCCGGAGCTGGCAATCTGAACAGATGCCGAAGCTGGCAATCAGAACAGCTGCCGGATTATGAAATGAAGTTTGAAATGAAATTCATCGATTGACTTTATTAATACTTTTTAAAATAACAACTTACTTAATAAAAAGTGCTGAGGGTGCCACTTTCAGTCAGGAAACAGCTTTAAGATGTTAAACTGATGATTAAAAATGAATCAATGTTTCTAACAGGGATGACGACTAACTAACTTTTTTATGGTAACAGGTAAATTAACAAATAGTAGTGGACATGTATTTTTTCTTTAGTCACATTATCGAACTATTATGGAAATATATTGATTTGAAATTTCGCATGAGGTCACGTTTTGTGTACAATTTTTACTTAATATTGACGTCATGAGCCCCACTCCCAAACTATGACGCGCTACAACTTTGTAATTTATTAGTTGATTGCCCGTAGAAAGAATACGTGTCTATTCTTTTTTGTTAAATCTATGGCTTGTGTTATGGGATATTATGGTAACGGATAATAGAATTGTCTTTTTCTTTTTGCTACGGACGTTACCGAACTCGATGATTATAAATAAATAAAATCTACTTCATATATGACACTGATATATAATCATCATACTAATATTTGCCCCATCGGGCTCCAAGTAGGAGTAGGCGGCACCTAGAAACCCGGCGTACTTATATACCACTCGCGCTACGGAGGTAATCAAAACTGCTCATCAAAATCATTAAAATACAAAATAGCCCTGCTGATCGCTAGCTTCGATAAGTTAAGAAAAGCTATAGCAGCCATTATACTATGATCACACCACAAAGATCCGATTATAGTTGTTTATGCAAACTGCAAAGTTTATGCAATGTTTATCTCGTGTTTTGCTATATTATAATAAGTGGAAAGAAATGGGCTGGATAACCGTTTTCTTATTTTGAGGTAGGTAATTTACTAAATGTTAGTATTTGGACGGTATCAGTATTGCCGGTGAATGTTACTTACAGAACCTAAATTATTCTAAAGTAAAGAAACATTTACAAAATAAATGATATTAAAATTAACTGTTGCGAAAAATACCATGCCCATAACTTTTTGATGTCTTTGGTAGTTTAAATAACTGGCATAAAATTATTTGATTTTTTTAATTAAATGTATCTTTGAAGTTGTCAATTAAATAGACCACGATAAAATTTGCTTGCTACACTCACTACACTACTATTCACAACAAAAAACTAAAGTACAAAAAGATCCGCAAAACATATGTAAAAATGCCAGCAGTTGGGATAGATTTGGGCACAACGTATTCTTGCGTAGGTGTTTGGCAACAAGGGAATGTAGAGATTATTGCCAATGATATGGGCAATCGCACCACCCCATCATATGTTGCTTTCACTGACACCGAAAGGCTTATCGGAGACGCTGCAAAGAACCAAGTCGCCCTTAATCCCAGTAACACAATATTCGACGCAAAACGACTTATAGGACGTAAGTTTGACGATCCTAAGATACAACAAGACATGAAGCACTGGCCTTTCAAGGTAGTCAACGATGGCGGCAAACCCAAGATTCAAGTCGAATACAAAGGTAAATCTAAGCGATTTGCTCCTGAAGAGATCAGTAGTATGGTGTTGTCGAAAATGAAGGAAATAGCTGAAGTTTATTTAGGAACGAAAGTAAAAAATGCTGTAATAACAGTACCAGCCTACTTCAATGATTCTCAAAGACAGGCTACGAAGGATGCTGGAGCCATTGCTGGGTTAAACGTCCTTCGAATCATCAACGAACCGACCGCTGCAGCTCTTGCTTACGGCCTCGATAAAAACTTGAAAGGAGAAAGGAATGTCCTTATTTTCGATCTTGGCGGTGGTACTTTTGATGTTTCTATACTTACAATCGATGAAGGATCGCTCTTCGAAGTTAAAGCTACAGCTGGAGATACCCACCTAGGTGGAGAAGACTTTGACAGTCGGCTTGTCAATTTCCTTTCTGATGAGTTCAAAAGGAAGCATAAAAAGGATATAAGAGCAAATCCGAAGGCTATTCGACGTTTGCGAACAGCGGCAGAGCGAGCAAAGCGCACATTATCATCGAGTACTGAAGCCAGTATTGAAATAGATGCTTTGTATGAGGGGATAGACTTTTTTTCACGAATATCCCGTGCACGTTTCGAAGAACTCAACGCGGACTTATTTCGCGTTACATTGGAACCAGTGGAGAAGGCGTTGAAAGATGCAAAAATGGATAAAAATTCTATTCACGACATAGTCCTGGTCGGTGGGTCAACTCGTATACCTAAAATCCAAAATCTACTCCAAAATTATTTCAACGGAAAAAAGTTAAACTTGACCATTAACCCCGACGAGGCTGTCGCTTATGGAGCTGCTGTGCAAGCGGCAATTTTGGGCGGCGAACGTCATTCTAAAATACAAGACGTCCTACTTGTAGATGTAACGCCGCTCTCACTAGGCATTGAGACAGCTGGAGGAGTTATGACCAAAATTGTAGAGCGTAACGCCAAAATACCATGCAAACATTCTCAAACCTTTACGACCTATTCCGATAACCAGCCTGCCGTCACCATTCAAGTATACGAAGGAGAGAGAGTTATGACAAAAGATAACAACTTATTAGGAACTTTTGATTTAACCGGTATACCACCTGCTCAAAGGGGTGTTCCACAGATCGACGTGACATTTGATTTAGATGCAAACGGTATCCTAAACGTATCAGCTAAAGAGAACAGTACTGGTAAATGTAAGAATATAGTAATAAAGAACGACAAAGGTCGGCTATCACAAGCCGAGATCGATAGGATGTTGTCTGAAGCTGAGAAATATAAAGATGAAGATGACCGTCAAAAAGATCGCGTGGCGTCTCGTAACAAATTGGAATCTTATCTGTATGGAGTAAGGCAAGCGGTCGACGAAGTAGGAAGTAAACTCGGTGAAGGAGAATGCTCGAAGGCTCGCAGGAAGTGTGATGAGGCTCTCAAGTGGTTGGATTCGAACACATTGGCTGAGAAGGAGGAATATGAGAATAAACTGAAGGAAGTGAGTAGTGTTTGTGCGCCTTTGATGAAAAAGCTGCATGGCGTGGGCGGGACCCGCCAGGGTGGCGCTACTGGCGGCGGCAGCGACGGCCCCGTCATTGAAGAAGTCGATTAATAGTTTATTTATTTATTTTCCTTTACGATTGTGATTTTCTTTCTTGTACGGTACCGAATATTAAAATTTGTTGTTTGGCATTATTTCATTCTTTTTATTTTTATAGATTCATGAATTCTTGTTTCGAATTATTTCTCGTGATATGTTTATTCCAATTAGTAAATTAATCTTATAGTTACAGAATTTCTTTAGTTTTCATAGTGACAAAATATTTATTATTAGGAATTTTCTGTCATTTTATTCTATTAGTTACAATTTTGAATATATTATCCCAATACAGCAACAATCATTAGAACAATCAGTAAAACAGACGGTAAAAAGCTACAAAGAGTGACCCTGGGACAATTAAACAAAGTTCTATATAGTCCGTTAGTTACATTATGAAAAAATAATACACACCATTTTTTTCCTTTGTCAATCAATGAAAAAATAACGGTAAAGCGTTAAAGTTTGGGAGGGGCGCGTAACGTCACTTCTAAGTAAAATGGAACCTAGACTTAATGTCATGCGACATTTTACACCAATATATACATATTATTTTTTAGAATAAAGAAAAAATACGTGTTCAATACTTTTTGATAATATAATCTACCTGAGAACTTTATACAAAGACAATAAAGTTAGTCATTGTCGTCGATTCTGGCATGATTCTCTAAACTTTAAATTTAACATCAGTCTCTCCTTTTTATTCTGTATAGAGAATAACAAGGCAAAGATAGACTGTTGTCAATTTTCAGTTTAGATTTAGAGAATCGTGTCAGAATCGACACCATTATCTCTATTGTCTAACTTTAAGTCTTTCTGGAAATGCTTGTACTTTTCAAAGCTAAAGCAAAGCATCAATGTGACATAAGGAGCCTCTTTTTTCTTGAAATGAAAGATATCGCGAAAAGAGAAAACGTTACACAATCTGGCCCCTGGATGTTGTGGTGGTCCTGCCAAACGAATCTATTTAATACTCCTATCACCCGCTGAAGTTTGATTATTGAAACTGAACGTTAAAATTGACCACAAGGATAACTGATGAGATTCTGTAGTCCTGATAGGAATCATTATAGTTTCTTCATGTCCGGTCTATGTCCATGTCTGTCCGTCCCCGGTTTTGCTTGGAGACTGTTAGCACTACCGAGCTGTAATTTTGTGGAGAGATGTATATCAATCACGCCGACAAAATGGTAGAATTTTTTTTTTTAAAAATCTTGGAATCAATTCTTGGAAAAAATCTTGGGTCTTAGAAACCAACACGCGCACGCTCTGAAAGTAACCGTAATAGGAGCTGTGATTTGATAGTTTCTTTTCATTCAATGAGTGTTCAGGAATGCCGGGCGCCAGATGGCAACACTGAGGCAAGTCTACTCATCCGTTATCTACCTATGCTCTAATTTAAAAATATTTTGTAACTTTCAATGTTTTCGACTGAAGGACTTTGTATCCAGGTCATGAATAAATAAAAAAAAACTACTCGTCCGTCAAATCGCGTATGTTGTCATAGTCTATGGATTAATTTAAATGCTCGTTCAAATAATTGGCGCCAAGAAGTTCAAACAAAAGACAAACGCCACAACGGCACCAAGTGGTGTGGTGCCATGTATTTTTGTAAACGCTCTTAAAACGGCCAGGTATTAATTTTTTTGCAATAAAATTAAAAGATGAGCTTGACGGTGGAGTAGTTTAGCTCGTTAAGCAAGTTTTTTAAGCAACTTTTACAAAGGGCGGTCGGCTGGGTGAGCAATAATGAATTAGTTCGAGCTCTTTCGTGCTTCGGAACGCACGATAAGCCTTTTTTATGTATGTAGTCTGTACTCTTGCCCGCCTAGCATGAGCACCGCGATATGATAAATTACTCGTTTTTATCACGCTCAAGTGTCACATTACTATGGAGTTTGACAGTTAGACGCGATAAATTGAGATGCTCATGCTACGGGGATTGGCACGAATCAATATCGAACTTGAATAGTTGAATTCGACAGCGATACGTTTTCTATGGCAATTTTAACAGCGCCTCTATGGACGTAACGAAAATCAGTAATCTTCCTTAAAACTTCTTAACATCATCATCATCATCATCAGCCTATTAATGGCCTTCCCAATGGATGGAATAGGGAGATTGAGCCATGACCCACCACGCGGGCCCAGTGCGGGTTGGTGGGTGCTAACGACTGCAGATGCAGCCGGGACCAACGGCTTAACGTGCCTTCCGAAGCACGGAGGAGCTCGAGATAGTAAATTTTCGGTCACCCATCCAATGACCGACCACCGCGAAAGTTGCTTAAATTCAACGATCGCAGCGGAACGCGCTAACCACTGGCGCCATCGAGCTCCTCTATAATAGGAATAAACTCTTAACATTTGACGCTTATCGAGATCGAATTCAACTATTCGAGTTAAACATGGTTTTTTGAAAAGGGTACTGTATCCGAAGTCATTAGCACCGCTCATGTGGCGGGTCAGGGCCCATTCTTTCTATTCTATCCTTGGGGGTGCCCCAGCAGTGGGGACATTAATGATGATCAATTTGAAGAACCATATTTTTAATCCACCTACTTAGACGTTGAAGCTCTGCATGACCACAAATAATTTTAAGTTATTTACGGGATTGTTACCATGTACCTTGTTTTTAGCGAGTTTCCGATATTTGGGCACTGTTGCAAGCGCCATGATCACGGAGTGATCGGGATGGCGTTGGCGATAGGGGTGGATAGCGCTTGCAACAGTGCCGAAATATCGGAAACTCGCTAAAAACAAGGTACATGGTAACAATCCTATTAATAACTTATGTTACTATAATGTTAGTGACCATGAAAGTTTAAAAGAATACAAATAATTTTGTTTTCATAAGGCTATCGAACCCGTAGATAAATTCTTTTTGTGTCTGTTTAATACGAAACTGTCAAAAGGACATTGGGAGCTTTACTATGGAAAAATTCCCGACAGCAGACATGAATTCTATCTTATTTTAAAGCTGCATTAGTGTGACCCACGCGAATATTGAGATATAATTAGGACAACATACAAGAATTGTATGATGAAAATAGTATTGTTGATCTAAGGTTGAAAACAAACAAACTACACAAACTCAAGCAGAGTCTTTTTTAATTATTAGTATTGTTCTTGTTAGAGGAGCTGGATGGCGCAGGTGATCATGAAAGTTAAGCAACTTTCGCAATGGTCGGATCAGTGGATGGGTGACCAAAACTTATTATCTCGAGATCCTCCGTGCTTCGGAAGGCACGTTAAGCCGGCTGCATCTGCAGTCGTTAGCACCCACGAAACTGGGCTCGCGTGGTGGTGCATGTCCCAGTCTACTTATTCCATCCATAGGGAAGGCCTGTGTTCCAGCAGAGGGGACATTGCTAGGCTGATAATGATGATAATTACTTTGCATTCGCATGTGAAATCCTCATATATAGACACCCTACTCCCGGCTGCACGGTTGTTTCAGATAATTACTGACTAATGCACAACCGTGGTTACGCCTTTGGCCATAAGGACCTCACAAGCTTCGCTAATACAAAAATCTCGTTTTCACAGCATTCCCATAGGTTACAGAAATAGGAATTGCACAGGCATTAAGTAGATAATTGTATCTATCCATTGATACAAGTTTCGTTTGTATCTGCTACTTTTCGATAAGAGGGGAAAAAATGTTCCCACTGTACGAGTTACCGATCGCACATAGGCTTTATATATAAGTACATAATTTTAAGGTCGTGCCGCCGCGTTTCGTAAGCGCGTGCAATTTGTACAATAATGTTTAATTACCTATATGAAATAAATTAGTGACAATTTAGCACTCTAACGGGACGGTTTTATTTATCACTAGAGGTCGCCCGCGACTTCGTCTGCGTTAACTTAGTTTCTTGAAAATCCCTCTGGAACCTAACATTTTTCGGGATAAAAGTAGCATATGTGTGAATCTAGGGTGTCAGCTAACTCCATACCAAATTTTATTAAAATCGCTCCAGCCGTTTAGACGTGAAGAAGTAACAAACATACCTACACACTCACATACTTTTTTTTTTTTTATGCTAAATAGGCAATGCGTTTGACCACAATCTCACCTGATGGAAAGCGATGATGAGGCCTAGGATAGTACACGCCTGCCTAGATGCCTGTTCACTCTGGCCTTGAAGATGTCCAGGTTCTATTGGTCCGGGAAAACAGACCTCACACACTCACAAACTTTCGCCTTTATAATATTAGTGTGATCACCCAATCGTTCTAACTTATCAGTATCAATTATCATTTTCTATTAAATGTAAGAAGGTTTACGCATTACCCCTTACATTTATTTTGGTCCTTCGAGAAATTTGTGAATCCTGCCTTTATCTTAATAATTAAGTTTAGTACCTTTCTCTTACATTTATGGGGGATCACTTTTGAATAAAAATGAATGATTGATTAGCAATTTCTTTATTTTTAATTTAATAACTTTAGAAATTGTTCGGAAAGAAGACAATGTTTCAGCATCGTTATTATTATGATATGAACAATAATAATTACCGCTATAATATTTAATACTATTCATTACAATATGGAGATAACGTATCATAATCGTCTATGTCGCTACATATACTTATATACAGGAGCGCCTACTGCAACCGTTCAACGTATATAACAATCAAAATACAAAATGGCGGAAAATAGAAATTGGCGCCTCCAATACTTTGCTTTTAATTTAATATTAAAAAAAAAACAGTCGAGTAAGTACTGTTATATAAATAATATGTTGTTTATAATGTATATTTTCACATTTTTGTGGTGGTAATGCGGTACTGAGACATTTATTTATTGAGCAAAAACTTCCTTAATCTGTAATTGTTTCCATTTTATTTTCAAAACGCTTACTATTAACTTAAGTATGCACTCCGTTTTAACTACTGCTAAACTATGTCATTGTCAATTGATTCCGTTATATTAAGACTACGTAAAATTGTATTTAATATTTAAATGTCAAAATATTCGAGGCACAAATCTCAAATAACAATATACTATATTCATTTAATAATTAATTATTCAATAAATATTTCGAAAGCAAAAGCTAGGAGGTGAACCCATAATATATATATATAAATATATAATATGTATATTTTTTATTAATAATGAAAAATAATATTCAAAAAAGATGGTGTGTTGTGTTAACTTCAAAACTTCCGTTTACTGTTAAACAGCCTAAATATTTAATTTTAATATTGACTATTACATGCTATATCTTAAAACCTAACTTACTCTTTTATATAAACATCGATATGTATGAAGTTTGGTATTTCTAAAACTGCATATAGAAAGATTATTTATTTCGTCGTGAGTTACATTTAAAACTTTCCAAACTGCAATTTTTTTTGGTAATACTTTTTCCTAAAGTTATTTTTATTTTGCGATAATCTTCGTTACATTTCCGCGGATACATTTTTAGAATGATAATTATTTTGATTCATCAATGAAATATTTTACCCCCTTTATGATACTTGAATGCGGGGGTGGCCATTCGGTCACTCGGGTAACCGTCTCTACCTAGTGTGGCAATTTCCTTATTATTTACACTAGCAACTGGATTTATCTATTTACATTTTGATGCAAGGAGTATGGTTCCTTTTTAATGTACATTTTAATTTTTTATTTAACCTAGCGGCATAGAAAATAAGGACGAAAAGAAAAAGAAAACAAAAATCAGATTAAAAGCAAATTTATTGCTAAAATAAAATAAAATTATAACCACAAGCAATATTTTATTTGCTCAACGCAACGATTCGCTCGTTTGTCTCTAAAATTTGTACGTTCTCTAAAAATATATAAATATAAAAAAAAAACAAACAATACAAGATATGGAATTCGTAATAGGGAAAAGAAAAATAAAAAAGTTAGTCACTCGAGAAATCACAAACTTGAGCGGTCCCGTCGGTCGGTTAAATATAAAACTATATAGAAAACATACAATAGTATAAAATAAACATTCATAATTTAAAGTAAAACTTACAACCCGATCATGATAATATTTAAAACCTCACCGGTTCACATAAACATAATAATACTTTTCAACTGGGATCGGCGCGGGTCCTAGCTTAAATTTACATCTGATTGCACTTTAAAATTTCATTAACAACTAAACGAACCGCCCTCGGTCCCGGCCGCCGGCCTTCGACGGGCGGCGTATTTACACGCGGCCGCCACTATATTTGGTATGTCTATTTACATCGATCGAATCGGGGCCCCGGCCGGCCCCCGGGGCGTCGGCCGGGGCGCGTACCCTACGTTAAAAATTAAAGCGAAATGCATTCGGTATCGGCGCGGGCGGCGCCGCGGCCGGCCCGCGCTCAGAGTCTTTGGCCTCGCGGCGGGGCTAGTACTCCCACCGGTCGTCGTCGGCCTCGGTCTTGATGTCTGCTGGCGCGGGGTGCGCGGGGTGGGCCGGGGGCGCGGGGTCGGGGTCCGGGGGCGCGGGGGGCGCCGGGTCGGGGGGCGCGGGGGCCGCGTCGCCTCGCATCACGCACACGCCGTTGATGAGCACGTCGTCGTGCCGCGCGCGCGCCTCGTCCTGCCACTCGGGGTTGACCCACTGCGGCGCCGCGGGCTTGCGCCGGCTCGACCGCCCCCCGCCCCCGCCGCCGCCGCCGCCGCCCCCCGCCGGCGTCGAGGTCGCCTTCGGCTCCGTCTTGGACTCGGCGTCGTCGAGCGAGTCCTCCGAGCCGAGGTTGCTGTCGACGTCGTCGTCGTCGAAGTCGTCCGCGTCCGGCTCGCGCTTGAGCGGCATCGAGAGGTCGAGGCCGCCGCTCTGGTCCTTGCCGGCGTCGTCGGGCCCGGCGAGCCCGCGGCCGATGAGCGCGGCCAGGTTGGAGTTGGCGAAGTAGGGCGGGTAGGGCAGCGGCACGGCGGCGAGCCCGAGGCGCTCCTTCTGCAGCTCGAGCAGGCGCTGGTTGAGCAGCAGGCGGAACTGCACGGGCTCGAAGGGCGCGGCCTGGTCGCGGGCGGGCGGCTCGTTGGGCAGCCCGTGGGGCGCCTGCTGCTTGAGGCGCATGCGATGGTTGTGGAACCAGTTGGTGATGGTGCGCGTGGAGAGGCCGAGCTCGGCCGCGAGGAACTCGATGGTGGGCATGCTGGGGTAGGGGTCGAGCGCGAACGCGAGGCGCAGCGCCTCCTTCTGCTCCTCGGAGAACAGCACGCGCTGCTTCTTGGCGGCGGGCGCGCCGGGCGCGGGCGAGGGCGAGGACGCGTGGTAGAAGTCGGCGGTGTCGTTGGAGGAGGTGTCGGAGGAGTTGTCCTGGCCGGGCCCGCTGGAGCGGCGCCGCTTGTTGGCCTCGCGCCGCTCGTTCTTGAGCGCCTGCAGGCGGTCCACGTTGTGCGCGTCGCTGAGCCACAGCTGCATGCGGATGAAGGGCTCGCGGCCCTTGATGCTGAGCATGTGCCACGGCTTCGGCTTGGACAGCAGCTCGCTGACGGAGCCCTGCGAGAGGCCGAGCACGGCCTCGCCGAAGATCTTCTGGCCGATGTTGTTGGCGAGCAGCGCCTCCTTGATCTTGGTGGTGATGGTCTGCGTGTCGAGGTCTTGCGTGAGCGCGGCCATCTCGTAGACGCTGGGGGAGATGTGCTGGTGCAGCGAGCGCAGCACGGGCTGGTGGGGGGGCTTGCGCTCCTTGTTGTTGTTGTCGTGGAGGTGCGGGTGGGAGTGGGGATGGGGGGGCAGCGCGTGGGGGAAGCCGGGCGGCGTGAGCAGCAGGGGGGGCTGCAGGTGCGGCAGGTGGGGCAGCAGCTGCTCTTGCTGCATCTTGCTCAGCAGCGACGTGGCGTCCGACAGCATCTTCTGCGTCGGCGGCATCGGCTTGTTCATGTTTGGCGGACATGCTGGAAAGAAAGAGAAAGACCTATTAGCGATTCGTTCATGTTCGTGTGTACGACCTGTCGAAGACTAAGTAATTGGAATCATTATTTTACTGGCTAACGCTTGGAATTTTGTAATCCGATATTGATTGATCCCTTATACAATTTTTCTGTCTCCCATTCCACATCTATCAAATTTCATTATTGATATCTATGGCTAATCTATCTTCGAACCAAATAACTACTATAATTTAATTTAGCGAGCGGTTAATATGAAAGCGAACGTTACAATTATATTTATATAGGTACTCTCAAAAATAAAAATAGACTTTGATAAATTTGAGTTTGATAAAGTTTCTTAGACTTTTACTTATAACTAGCGGCCGCTAGCAACTTCGTACTCGTGGAGTTAATTAGAAATAAAGGTTCACTGCTCGTTCCCCGTAGGTGATAGCGTCATAATATGTAGCCTATATGTTGACCCGACTTCTTAATAATATTCTTGCCAAATTTCAAGTAAATCGATGCAGTACTTTTTGAGTTTATCCCGGATTACATAGACAAAAATTCTAAAAACTATATTTTTGGCTTCGGTATCGATAGTAGATCACACCCTAAGTATTCTTTAAAAAAAATCAATGTACAGTTTTGACTTTCCTACCATTTTTTATATGTATAAATGAGAGCTCCAAAGCCACTAAAATACGCTCTACAAGCAGATACGATACTTACGAGGTGCTCCGCTGTAGTTGCCAGTCCTCATCAGCTTCTCCGGAGCGATTTTGTACTGCGACGCTACCAGCTTGTGCACTGCGTTATCGTCCTCCAGGAACATCTTCATCCGTATGAAAGGCTCTCTTCCTTTCTGCGTCAACATATGCCAGGGCTTCGGCCTCGCAAGCAGATCGCTAACTGATCCCTGGGACAGGCCCAGAACCGACTCGCCGAACAATCTTTGGCTGATCGAGTATTGACTCAGAGCCTCTTTTACTCTCCTGACGATGTCTTCCGTATTTAAATTGTTGAAGAGATCGAACTGCTGCTGCGTTATCGGAGGTAGAACGGCCTTCATAGATCTCTGGGGAGGCGGATGGTGCGGGGGGTTCGAGGGTTGAGAGATGAGGCTGTTCGTTATGGAAGCCATTCTTTGCAGGGGACTAGCCGCCGCTGAACTACTGAAGTCGTCGTTCGGCGTTATCGCCGGCGGGAGAATCGCGTTCCCCAAGGGACTGGACGCGGAGGAGCCCGTCGACTGCTGGCCCGGTTCTAACTTAGGTCTGACTAACGAAAATGCGCTACCCGCATGCCTAATAGCCTCTTCGGCGTCCATCGACCTATCCTTATCACTATCAGTCATTCCATTTATTTTGGCATTTTTATCTTTAGGTAACGAGAGATCTTGGACCGCGCCGGCACCGTTGTGGTGCTGGTGCTGGGCTTGCTGCATGGCTTGGTGCTGGAGCGCGAGGAGGTTGGGGAAGGGCGGGACTCCGGGGACGCCAGGGAGGGGCAGCTGCATGTTGGCTCCGGGCTGCAGCTTGGCTAGCTCGCGGTGGTAGGCCTCCAGCGCCATGCGGATGTCCTCCGGCGGCCGCTCCATGTGAGGCGCCATCCCGCCGCTGAAAAACGGGGGGAAAACACTGCAATTTAGTTTTAGATTTGCTGTTCTCGTTCAAGTTAAGTCAATATTCGAAGGTCTTTCATAAAGAAGTAAGCTGAGATGTAAGATAGTGGCGCAATCGCAAGCGCCTATAAGCCATGTTATCCACCTACCCATCAGGCAGGACATAATGTGCTGGTTACCTTTCTTTATTACTGAAGAATTAGTTTAGTAAACAATAACTTAAATTAGGCATCGATGTTGGTGGATTCACCATTCGTCTGATCTATTCGTATTTTTTCTTTAAGAATATAATAAAAGCTCGTGGACCAATTCTAAATAGACTGAATCATTTTTTTGTAAATTACTTATAATGCATTTCTTTTTTTAAAACCGATTTTTTTATGTGGAACTTACGTTGGAAAGCCGTCCCGACTGTGCCGCATGTCCTCCACCCTCCTGGTCATGATCTTTGCCAGCTCCTCTTGGTATATGCGCACCACTTTCTCCTGGGGAATGTCATCGTTCTCATATTTCTTAAGTCTTCTGTTTTGACTCGAATCCTGGAAGAAAACGTACGGGTACTGAATAACCTTTCCCTTTCATGCTTCTTTATTTAAATAACAAACCATTATACATAATCAAGGTCTAGGCGTTTTTTATTGCCTTCGAAGGCAGTTGAGCGCATGGGCCACCTGATGTTAACTGGTCCGTCGCCCATGGACATCAGCGTCATAGCCATGCTTCTTCCTTTCGTGGATCAATCTATTTAAGCCTCTAGTGAAGAGGATCATGTTATAGTACTAAGGGAACATCAACTCAACAGCTCATTTCATAATATTATGGCTGAAGAGGTAATGATTTGTACCTTATTAGAGAACGGCGATGGGCACTGAGTGCGAGGTGAGCTGGAGTCTTCGTTGCTCCTGGAGTCGTCGTTGTTGGGCTGCCCCGTGGGAGTCTTCAACAGATGCGAAGCCTCGTTCAGGATGTGTTGGAGTCTCTCGTCCCCTTCCCCATCTGGCCTTCCGAAGCCTGTCGTCGACCCATCTTTTGTTCCAACTGTCAAAAGTTATAATTTTCATCAGTGTCAGTTTATCTCTATACATCTAATTAGAGAAATATATTTATAAATTTTATCGTTGCATTCATCAAAAATAACTGAAGTGGGGCTGGTTTGGCATCGTCACCCGTCCCGTTTAATATCATCATGGATTTTAATTAACTCAACAATACTTTGAACCGAGTTCAATAAGGGCCATCTTGCTGCGGCAATTTTCAGCTCGTTACTGTCATTTCATAACAATATTTGAACTCATACTCGAGTTTTAATTGCGGCTAAATTGTCTCACGTATATATACACATAGTTGCGTTGATCCGCGCGCGCGGCACTTAAACTCTTGCCAAGTAATAAATACGAGTGTTATATTTGGGACAATTGAAATTAGGTGGGTCATTAAAACGCTGCTGCAATGAATAGTGCTTTAAAGATAATCACTGAATGGGAACGGGCACTCATCGCCTAAGCCAGTAATCCTAAAACGGCGCGCGCGCACCCATAAACAAGTGAAGTTACGCGCGAAAACCGCCCGCCATACTGTGGTCATTCATCCTGTCAACATATTGTCTTTGGTCTCACAATGAAACGACTCTGTTTAGATGCTGATATATGCACCGCATTAGTTTAATTAGACGAGTAATTAGCTCACTCGCCTGGATATGTTTGGAATTAACGACGATACTCCGTTCGGATGTACGAGCGGTCGTTTTCATTACTTTTATTAAAATTATAATTTGCATCGTTTATTTTTATATTAATAGGGAGAAGACACGAGAATTGGCGCTTTATTGACCAACTTTCACTTAGCGTGTCGCCCTAATTGTGTCATCTTATCTTTTGACTAATGATAATCGCAAAATTGTCGCGAACGCTTTCAATTTCGTTAAATACGTAAATATAATAATGCAGTCTATTTTAAACAGCAGACTATGTCTATGACAATTAGTTGACCAGTATCTAAAACGTAAGCAGCTATTGTGGTAGAATTTTTATCACGTTTAAGTCTCCAGGCCATAAATAACAGTTTGGTTTTCTCCATTGAATGGAAATTAAATTATCACAGACATTATTTAAAAAAATATAGTATAATTCTTTTCGTTTTATTCCTTGATCTGATACTATTTGGCGTCCGTAAACATGTTGCTACAACTTCGGACAATAACAACAAAGAAATACTAATAAATAAATGAATATAGAGTCATGACGAAGAGCTTACCGCATTCTACAGTTTTATTTTGATCGGTCTTCGGCCGGTTTGTTCGGCGGATCGCCGGCAATTCTCGATCGGTTGTTTATTTCAGCAGATATTTGCCGATTCGAGCCAACTTAAGCCTTGATTAATCGACTATAAAAAATATAATGCGATGCCGTAAAGTTGTTTTCCGAAATCGCACCAGCTTTTATCGGTATGTAAAGTGAATTTTATTTATTGGTAATTAAAAGATTTAAGTGTCGCGCGCACGCGTGTATTTTGGGGTTCGAATCAGACTGCGGTGGTTAACACGTAACCCAAATAATAAAGACGTTACGAGACAACAATTGGTAAGGAGCTAAAGAAGCTTCTGTTGTCCGATTTTTTTTTTATTTTTTTATAGACATTAATGGTGTGATTCTTATAATTACCGACTCGAAGTGAGTTTTTTTTATTCTAATTCGGAATCATCAGTTGCCCCATCATCGCTAATTTTGATTGCAAATCACGAATCGGATCTGAGTGGACTTTTCATTGAAGCAGACTTGCGCAATGTCTCATTGTAGTTATGTTCTCACGTTCCAATTCAATGTTAACATTATTACAATAATACTTTAGGTGTGTCCTTATATAGACGCGGTTTAATTTTTTGTGAAACTTCAGAAACGACTTATGACTAAACACGACGTGATACAAATTTAACAAAATGGCCGTCGAACCGTTTTGATTGTATCTCGTATGACCATAATGTTTAGTTTGAGCCCGTAATAACGTTTGACGATAATACTATATACGTGATTTGGTGTAATAATGACTCTGTTTGCTTTTAAATGTCCGGTTAAGTGGCATTTGTTTCTATAATCTCGGCTTAAGATTGCCGGGTAATTATGGAAAACTTTCTTAAGAGGCACAACGTGCTCATAAACTACTGTTTCGGACGACAAACACTTTTACATAAGAATTTCATAACTCTTAATGCATTGCGCAATCAGTACAATTTTTTTAGTATTCGTTTTTCCACTAATGTCCCTTTTTTTATTCCCAACGCATACATCGAATGTGTAATAAAGAGTTTGATGTTTTGTTATAAGTATCGACAATCCCAAAGAATTTGGAAGTGCGGCTATCTATGCAGCATACGAAATTAATGAATATAAACATAAATTTCGAGAAACGTCAGAAATCGAAGCTAAAGTGTTAGAAAAAACCTCCGTTATGTCAATAATAACTGATCAGCGCAGATTAACATGTGAGACAGGTGCGCGTCTCGGATGCGACAGCGATAACCAATTTATTTACTGTATTCCGAATTCATTCTTCTACACGCGAGACGTCGATAAATTTCAACACACGTCTATTAATGCCTTTGATCTTCTCGCAGACGCTTAAGTATTCAAAATGCAGCACGTTCAAAATTACTAATACGTGCTCCGAGAGTTTTGTCAAAAACTTTGACTCGGTTAACCTTGGTGCAACATGCGCCATTTTGTTTAAACGTCAAATCAGTCAATATGGTAGGAAATGCGCGGGAATTTTTATTCTTTACTTTGTAAGGTTTGACAAGGCATCAGTTAAACAGTTTGTGTGTGCTCGCTGTTCAGTGTCGGTGGTCACAGTATTTATGATACTGTGTACGCAAAAAACATATTTTTTTTGTTTATTCGTATGTCTTGGCCATTTTTATTACCAATCATTATAATGTGCATCTTGATGGATTCCAGACTTTTGTGGTAACAACGTGTAAGGTGGTAAATTAATGCGATGTGGTCACGGAATTGTATTTATCGGCCATCGTTTGATTGTAACTGACCGGGGCCAGGAGCCCGGGACTGGGTGGCGGTGTTCAACGGGTACACTAGTGAATTCGAGAAGTCATAATTCAAGGATAATATAAAAACACTGGAATTATTTGTTTATGCGACACTATCGCGTGCGTGCACGCGAAAAGTATTTCTTTGTGGCCGTTATTGATTGCTATTGCCATATGAATATTCAGAGGCTTTGGAAAGTAAAGGGGTGGCGGTGCCCTAAATTATTGTGTCACTGTGACACACAGAAAAAAAATATTTCGCCATATAATTAGGTTCGTTTGATTCGAGCAATGTATCACGGCTCGTAACTCAAGGTGGCGGGTAGCTAAAGAAAGGGGTGAGAATCGGGCGCACATACGTCACCGGCGAGATCGATTCTCATTTGCATGCGAGCCGTCGGCGGCGACGGACGTCAGGGCCGCTCGAAAGTGTTGCGGCCCGCGGAAAAAAATGGCGCATTTGAATTGTTAATACGATGCAAAAGGAATAGTTGCATAAGCCGGCATCGTAATTTAGAACTAGGTGTCAACGCGTCGTTGTAATGGAGCGTATAAACGAGACGATTTGACATTCTAACTGTTTGCAAGTAATCTAGATAGAGCATCATTAGAATTGTACGTAAGCAGTCAGTATTGCTGTAAAGGATTGTTGTTGCGTACAAAGTTAGTTTGAGTTCGTTTAGAAGTTGGTCGGTGGTCGCTAGGTTAGGGTAGTGTTGCCGCGCGGCGTTGCGCGTCGTTTGCGTCGCGTGCGTAGGGTCTGGTGATCGGGATCGCGTGCTAGATGGCAATCTGCCGGGGGCACCGACCACAATTGATTCCACACTAGAGAGGAAGCCGAGTGACACGCCGGCTCTACCTACCTTCTAGTTTACACAAAATAAACGAGTGTTAGATCAAATTGTACATATCGATTCATGTTGACACATGTTTTGGCATTTAGGAATCATATTTCGGTATATCAAAGAAGAAGATTTCTGATCGGTACTGTCTTACAATTTAACCGTAGGTACTTATAGAGCGGAAACGTAGCTAAATACGGTTTGATGGTGCGCCCGTTCTCATAATGATAATGTATGACAATTTCTGTCCGTAGCGAAAGTGCGTGTTACGAAAACGTCGTGGCATTGCGTTCTTAAATCATTACAACAACAACAATAATGAAAATGTAAAAAAAAGTACAATAATTGTAGGCTGTTTAAAAAAAAACAGCGCTAGTGTTATTTTTACTACTTCTTATAATGTATGTGTCATACGAAAAGGAAAACTAACATCACAGATTTACCTTTAAAAGATTGCGGAGCATATAAAGGTAGTTAGTATTTTTATTGTGTAGGTACCTACGTATTTAACAATGTTGTCTTTCCCGTTGGCTGTCGAAAATCCCCGCGGTGAAGGTAAAAACGTTAAGAGCACTCGTCGCGCGGAGGACGCTAGTTCCTAACTAGATTCAATAATCAATTTTGCGAGCTCCGCAGAGGACCACCGCGCCACATCCGTAGCACTAGTACCTACGCAGTGTTGTTTGGACCGGAAAAAGAGGATTTTTGTTACTTTTTTTATTCGGATGATTCGTGCCTGTTCCATGTTTGAAATATTTTTATTCTATTTTGTTGGTATTATATCATGCTCTTGTCTATGGTTTTGTGATATTTTTGACGTGATGATGAGTATACGGAAATAAACCTTAAAAATAGCAATTTGCAAAAGTGGATGATCCGTAACGTAGAGAAATGGATAAAATTATTAAAAAGCCCATTTAAAATCCTGTCTGTATGTGAGTGGTATGCGTGAAAACATAAGAAGTATATAAGTAGGTATATTTTTTAAATTTTAAAAGGTCTGTGTCTAATGTCTATTATGTCCAATGTGTGTGTCGTTACTTTCTCCTTAGGTAGGTACTCTGTAATGTTTGAACAATATTGAGTAAGATACTCTATCCTACCTGATTTTTTAGTGTCAGGTGAAATTCTTTCGCCACATTTTGACGTACCACTTA